GAGCTGATAAACGAAGTTGCAAAACAAGCTTTAAATTAACTGCGGTCGGCAGTGCGAACAAAACAAAAGGTAGAACATGCTACATAACTCATCCATAATCAACACTGTTTACATAAATTTCAAAAATTATTACACGGCAACGGTGGCCAAGGGGATTCCGACTCCATCAGGCTCGAGTTGGGTTCGTTTCGGGACTGAGACTGAGACTGGGTCTGAGACTAAGACTGCGAGTGGAACTGGACCTGAAACTGAGCAATGGGATCGGGGAGAGCGCGTGATGAATGCTTAAATAATGCGCTTAACCCTGTGCGAACATAATTTATGGTGTGCGGATATGCATGAGTACAGTACAAGCCGGCGGTAAGTACGAATACACGAGAGTCGGTCAGCACAACACACGCTGTTTTCATTGTTATTACACGGACGTTGCCGTTGACCAATCTGTAAGCCCTCTCCGCCATCCGCTGCCATTTTGGCCAAATTGATTAATTACGGTCATTCGGGGACGCAGCAGCGCTGCATAAGTAGCATAAAATGCCATAAACCGCCGGCCAGGAGTCGCCGCAGCTCGAAGTCATTTGCCACTAAGGACAAATGCCGCCAAAAAACGAAATTACTCAGCCGTAGCGAACGGGGCAAGAGATCTTCTTCATTTTGCGACCGGGTCGCAGCTTGAGCCTTGCCGCTATATGCCGCAATTGATTTAAGTTGCCCCGAATGGCCAGCGAAGTTGGATGGGACGCTGCGATGGGTTAAAATATACGAGAATGTATATATAATTGTGAATCGCCTCTGGGCGTGGTGCATGTTCTGTTGTAAGTAATAAGCATTTTTATGTCGCAATTGGCCGGGGAGGGGTTAAGGGCAAGCCAAAATAATGCTTAACACGCCGTTGCCGCTGACATGCTCAACTTGATGATGACGCTGCCTCCGGGCTGGAGCGCTTGAATAATATTGAAATTAATTATTTTTGATGGAAATTATTAAGTAATTTTTATGTTGCCAGCGAAAATAAGCGGTCTTGTTGAGCTTCTTTCGTCTTCCCTCCTAATTAATTGTATTTATTAAATAACATAATAAATTAGCGCTTGCACTTGTTGTTATGCTTGCTCCAATTAAGGAAGTGCCACTCCAAGACGATCAAAATGTCGGCTCTGAAGTCCCGTCCAAATTGGCTATCGGGTCAACCGGTTTGTGATGGTTTTTATTTTGGTTATTTTGCTGTTGCCTGGCTTTGTTGATAACGCGCTTTAATTAAAAATCTGCATACATTTTTGGGCAGTTGCAAGTCTCGCAGCTTTTTTCTTCCATATCTCGCTTTTTTTCACGAAGACCCGCCAAAAATATCAAAATCAAAAGCGGCGCAGGCTCTTTTATGACAGATCTCACTTTAAAGTTGACGTCCGAACTGTCAGAAAATAACACTTGAAGTCTGGGGGGAAGATGCAGTTTCCCCCGCTCGTTCGTGGCCGTAACTTTATGTTATTTTGGTGGATTTCTGATGTGAAGTGAAGTTAATTTAGCGAGCTTCGACTGACACAAAAGAAATTTAACAATGAGTGTTAAGCTTCTACTTGATACACAAGTGTTAATAAAGGGCAAGGGCCTCTTCAAATAAGTTCAAAGTTATTGATTTTGTTAGAGTTTTGAAAATTATATAGTATTCCCTTGTAAAATAAGATTGAAATTTTTAAATTTTTGGATTATGGAACAACATTGTTTAAAGTCACTTCCAGTTGATGCTCAATTTTTGCACGCTTATCCTTCATGGTTGCTTTAACGAGTTCCAGATAAAGAGCCGTCTTAATTTTTCAAAATTATAACCTTCATGCTTGATTGTTTTCTGACGAAGCTGGATGCTTGACCATAAAGTTCAAAGGCCCCAAACATCAGCTTATACTAACTAGGCAATATACTGATGCCAAAAGCCATGAATCACTTTCAAGCATTCATAAAAAAACATTTACAAGCAGCTTCTATTCAAATGACCGATACCAAATGTGTAATTTTATTTCCGTCCAATCTTCTGGATGGGTTTCTTAACGGGCCCCTTTCACATTTGCACATAATAATGTTTTGGGCTTTGGCTTTTTGGAAAGTCTTACTTTTAGAGGCATGTGAAAATGATCTCAAATTTGGAACGAAATGCGATGATGGGTGGAGATTTTGGGCATTTTCAAGACGATTCCATATGCTGTAAACAATTTGCAAATGGCTTGGGCAGCTTTATCTTAATGATGCATAATAAAATTATGGCGGCAATCAGCGGAAATCAATAACAGGCTGCAGAGAAAGTAATTATTGGCCGCTCAAGTGGCTCCGACACCCGTCAAATCACCGGTATGGCTCTTATCCGATAAGAGGAGTTTGGGATAAGATGCGGTGGAGATGAAAGTCGGGGTGGGGCAGTGGGCAGTGGCAGCCCTGGAATCCATCTCCTGCCATTTGGCGGCGGCTCGTTTGCACCCATCGTCACTTGATTGAAGGCTCAGAATGCAGAAGCGGGCAACAAATCAACGCCGGGACTTGAGTTGCTTTTGCAAACTGACCTACAGCAGCAGCTATGGCAAAAAGCAGATTGCAGATACCAGTTCTTTGCTCGCAGTTTTATTGATGCAAATTGCATGCCCTGGGCCCTGTAATCAGTCCGCGTCCGAGGGCTCTGTGCGTGCAATTTGAGCGACAAGTCGAACCCCGCAGCCGGACGGAATTGGGTCACATTTGGTTGCGTGGAGCTCACTTAACTGCGATGATTGGCCAAATGGCAAAAGCCTAGTGGCGGCGCCACCTAGCGCCCGCTGACTGCACTAAGCCACCTGGCTTGATTGACAGCCTGAATACATCATCCCCTTCTGGGATGAACGCCCTTGCCTGGACCGCTGTCCTTGCCATGTAACGAGCTTTAAATAGCTTCAATTACAGGTCGAGATTGCATAATGCCCGGCTTCAATTCGATTCCCCCTTCGCGGTGCTCCTGTTTTTTTTTCCCCTTTGAGGCTTTGAACTTAATACTGGCGGACGGATGGACAGGGCTTGATGAACGACAACGGCACGCCAGGAGGTCATGTCACAAAAATATCCATTAACACATCATAAAAATTAAAAATTAAGAAACCATACGAGCCAGGCAATAAAACCGCAATGCCTGTAAAATAAAATATCTGTACAGTGAAATAAAAACGCCAAGGCATGCCAAGATAATCGCAGACGAGAGAGAGAAAAGTGAAACCGGTAATTATGCATTATGTATGCACGCCACCAACGCGGCGGATTAAAATGAGGAGCTGGGGACCAGAGACCAGGGACCAGGATAGCCAACTTTTGCGAGTGCCGGCTTACTGTCTGCCCACGCTAAGTAGGAAACACATTTTTGCTGCTTTTTCGGCAATTTACGTGCCTTGGCGCGCGACCCGCAAACAAAAGACTTAAGCGACGAACCAGCAGTAACATAAATTTCACTTAATTGCAGAAGGCAAAAACCAGAATGCATTCAATCGATAAACAGAGTGCAACGAATAAATGAGCTCGGCACGCAGGCAAAATGCTTAATGCCGCTGTGTCAGGCAAAAATATGCAAAGCACATAAAATTAAGTAAAACAAAAGCTGCCCAGAACATTTATCTCCGCTTCGATTGCGCTTCCATTGAAATGCATGTGGAGCAGTTCAACGTCTTCCGCCTGAAGATCGCCGCTTGCAAATTTGTCGCAAGATCAGCAACCAACCACTTCCCAGTAGCAGTAGCTCATTTTCATTGTACTGGGGCTTATTTCTCACTCGCAGGCAATGACAGTGAATACTCGTACACTCAGAAAAATTATACTTAAAATATGATTTAAGAAACTCATAATCTTAAAGATAGATGGTATCGTTTTAAATCAACATAACTTTCAGTTTTGCCGCGGAAAAGCAATTGGAAGCCCACTTACATTTGTAAGTTTTTATAAAATAAAAGAAAAATTATAAGAAAAATCATTACGTCAATAAGCTTGAGAGAGAAAAAAGTTCGTTTATAAATTTCAGCAAAAAGTTTGAAAAAATTATGAAACATTTGGCTTCACTTGATTCAATTATAAACATATACGCTTTTTCTCTAAGTGTACGGCACTCGAAATTTTTTGCTTCGTTTTTTGGCCATTTTTTCCCTGCAAGTGTTAAAGTCAACAATCGTGAGAAAAGAATTTTATTGTTGTTTCGCCTGTGTGTGGGGCTGCACTTTTTTCGTGCCTTTTCTGTCTTTTTGTTTATTTTCATTTTGCGGATACTGAAGGTCACTCTGCCTTGATTGCTGACTGCGGCTGGGCCAACTTGAGCTGAAGTTGAATACTGTTTCTCGTATCTTTTTGGCCGTTTTTTGGCTGCATATGATGCCTGCCAGCACCAGAAGTTGCCTTTGTCGAGCTCGCCTTAATATCTCTCTTTTTCTGGGCAGCCTGTCCCCTTTTGCCGCGCTCATGTTAAATTGTCCGTTTCATGTTTCTGCTTAAATGTCAGTTGTAATTTGTTGTATTAACCCATACCACATGAATTATGTTTAGTTCGAATGTAATTGATTTTAATGCAATTTGAATGGCAACAACACAACACAACGGCCGCACGGCAACAACAATGGCAGTATTAACAATAACAGCCACAGGAGCGTCGTCGGCAAGGCAAATTGAAAATTGCCCTCAACTCTGGCCGAGATTAAATGGAATTATGCAAAAGAGCTGCCTGGGAACGGTCTGAGGCGATCCGAACACGATCTCAATGAGAACTTCATCAAGAATTGGGTGCAGCTGGGATGAAGTGGTGAGGTGTTGCCTCGACTAACAACGTTATCGATACATGTCGTCGGCTTTGAGTCAGTTATCGCATCACGAGCTACTGACAACTCTAGTCTAGACCTTTAATTAGCAGAAGCATATTTAGACAACCCTTAGTTTGATTCTCTATGAAGTCCCCAAGTCGGAAAAAATTACAGCAACCCGTGAGCTTTCACTCCAGGGAGCTGGAAAGTCTTAAAGGCAATTTTAGTTTATTTACGGAGCGACCCCTATATTTTGTAGTTTAAAGCCTGTCGAACAAAAAAACCGAGATACAAGTGCAGCTAGTACGCGAAATACACTATTCCAATTGCAATTTTGTGACCATGACCGCTAACCCGTGCATATTCTGTTTAGATGAGCAGCACTTACCACGCCGTATTCCCTGCGGCCATTCCTTCTGCGCAGAGTGCTTTGATAAATATTTGGAACTTGTTCGGGACTCGCGCTGTCCACTTTGTAGACGCGATTTCAGGACGGACTTTCCTCCTCCTCTCGATGATTTCAGCCGAGTGACCTTCGCGTCTGGAGAGGAATCCGAACCTTTAGTAGCACTGCCCGAGGTTGAGCTGGACACGCTGGTGCTGACCCTTTCGGAACAGGAGTGCCGGTTCTTCGATCAGCTTTATCGGGAGGTTGAGCTGGTGAACGGTCGGGAGTAGATGACCAATGTGGGGCACAAAGTCCCTGCCAACGATCTGTGATTCTTGTTGTTTTTGTCTACTTGTATATATTGTGTATAATATTTTATAATTAGCCTTCTTGGAAAAAATGTCTGTCTGATTGTTTTTGGAAAGTGCCACACTGGAGATGGGTGACGATGAGAATAAAGATGTTAATTTAATTTCAAAATAAATTATACTTTGTATAGAGACAGCTTGTATTCATATCACTTTTTTTAGTAACTCGTTAAGGGTTACAGAAAAACCAGAGAAATCATAAATGACATTCATATTCAAATGTAATCAAAGTAAAATCAGGTCTTTAGCAGATATAAAATAAATTAAATTATAGTATTTTGCGTTATATAAACACAAATAAATAACAACAAATGCAAGGTTTTTTCTTGGAAAAGAAGACCCTATCCAGCTTCGCAAAGATGCTAAAGAAAAACGCTTAAAACCATTGTAGCCGTATCGAAATAAATGTGAGCTTCTGGGCCAGATCGATGGCTAAGTCAGGTGCCCAACCGTTGGCCAAGAGCATTGCCGTGTTCTCGGCTATCGCCATCTGCGCTTCAGCGCTTTTCCGGCGACTGCTCATCCATCTGCAAGTGCAAAAGCTGCGCCATCGATCAGCATTTGTATCTGCTCGTGCAGGCGCAACTTAATTAGACGCTTAGACTGGCTAATTGCCGTGGAGCCGGGGCTGATAAATTGATAAGCCCGACCGCAGATGAACAGCTAACGATGGTCATTAGCAGAAGTGACAGCGGCAGTCCGCAGCAGCAGCAGCAGCAGCCAGTTGGGCGACTGAAAAATGGTGCAAAAATGTTTATTAAATGTCCATGGCTGGCCGGCGGTCAGTGGAGCAGGCCTAGCCCAATACCAGACTCCCAAACTCCCAACTCTGGCTGCATTTGTTTGTTTGCCGTTGTCTTTTTTGGCGCTTTATCGCACGAATCATTTCTGGCTGGCCATTTTGACAGCGTTTTGAGTCAACAACATGGCGCATGCAGCAGATACAAATCTAAGCGGCACATTATGCAACGGCCGGGCGATCGTGCAAATGCTAAGAGCCAAAAACTATCTCATGGATTTGCGCAATTTGTCATCCTGGAATCGGAATCTGAATCGGAATCGCAGGCAAAGTCAGTACGTTGGGGAAAGGGGAGGAGATGTGGGATGGGTGGGGGGTGTCTGGGAGTGCGTGTGTGCGGGCGTGGCCGGCAAAACAGTTTTATTGATAAGGCTTGCCAGACGACTTCGATATTGCATTTAGTTGGCCAATTATTAATGCCCCTTGTCGCCGGCCTGCGTGTAATTTGTGGCAGTTGTTCGAGCTGCTGAACTGCAGTTACTGAAATGCGATACACACCGTCGATTGCTCATTTATGAATGTCCGGCGATGGCCGCGATGTGCGATCGTCAATCTTCGAACTTAGCCACGCTTACATGTGATTTAACAAGCTAACAAGCTGTGGCTTTATCGCCGATTAGTTGCTCTCGATAGTGCTGGCCAGATCGGCTGTCGTTTTGGCCAGACAGACTCTAACCCAGGGTTCATTGAACGTTCGGCTTTCAACAGATCGCAGCATGCAACATGCAGCAAACGTGCCACATTTTTAGCATTTTTATTATCGCAAGTCATTTGTCAAATTGCTAAACTGACATTAAAGCCGCCTTTCCTGTGGGCTGATAAACCAATTTGACATTTTAGCCGGCGATGATCGATGGCTGCACGAGATTCCCCCGATCCACCCAATTCGCCTGGGAGTGCAGGCTGGTGACATTTTTGCGCCAATTTCGGTCGCTGGGCCATCAGTTAAGAGCCCCAGCCATCAGCCATCACCCATCAGACCTCAGACCCTCAATTCGCATTTTTCGCTTTCAGTTTTGCAGCTTTTCGCCTCGCTTTTTTTCGGGGGGCTTTGTTTTGTTTGGAGTTGCCGTTTGCATGCGTGGGAGTTGCACGAATTGTGTCGTTAAATAATGCTCCATGTTTGTCCTGCACGAGACCCGCGAAACACACAAACCGAAACGAAACCAAACCAAGTCAAACAAAACGAGTGCACTGGGCGAAAAGTGAATACGGTAGTTTGTAAACCTTAAATTTACAATGCGGAAAGAGTTGGTTGGTTTGAAAAATTAATAAATAATAAAAACATGCAAAAAGGATAAATCACAGTTTTCCATCAATAAATTTAATGTTATTTACCAATAAAACTTTGAAAGGAAAGGCTTTAAAAAAGATTAAGTCCGCCAAGCTATAAAATCACTCAATAAAAAGTTTTATAACATGGTTTAAATTACTTTTTAAAAATTATTTTTATTTGAACTTTCTTTTTCTGTATAATAACTCTTACGATTTGCAAATATTCCGTCAATAAATAAGTAGTAAAGTAAATATATGATGTATATTTTTTTGTAGCGCTTTTATCCTAATTTTTATTTTTTAAATTTATTATATGCATTTTATGTTAACTTGCAATAAAATGTGATGTTAAACATTAGTTTTTGCAGTGCCGACAAACAACAGAAACGAAACTGGTTGGTTTGGCCGAGAGCGCGGAAGCGCTGCTCAAATGGCAACTGGAGCAGCGTTTTTGGGTGGCCGGACGGATCGGGTCCAGCCGGGTCTTGGGGCTGGGGTCTTGGGACCGGGGTCTCGGGTCTGGAGTCCTACTCCAGTACCTGGCAGCCGTGCCGGCCTTGCATTTGATGTTGATGCTGCTGCCGCCGCCACCGCCGCCGCGCCGCTTTGTTTAATTGATAGACGACGATGACTGCGACGACCCACGCGGCGGAGCTGAGGAGTTGCGGAGCTGCGGATCTGCGGATCTGGCTTCCAGGCCAGGAGGAGCGAAACCGGCGGCACGCGATGTCTTGGATCTTTAGCTCTTTGGCGGCCGGCCGCCAGTGGCAGGCAACCCATCGAACTCAAACTGTGCGCATGCGCATGCAACAGAATGCGACGTCGCGGCGTTGACAGATTGATGCCCCCTAACTCAGCCCAAGCCCCCGCTTCATTATTCAAATTACTTGTGTGTTTGTGCGGAATTTATCAAAGTCCTCCCGCAGCCAAAGATGTTAGAATGGTTAAACAGAAAAGGTACAACAACAAAAACCCGGGGAAATGAAGGCTAAGGTTAGCATGTGGACTAGTTGTATTTGGCGTGTGTTCGCGTGGGCGTCAAATGCTGTTTTCCCCTGCTCGAAATAAAACTATTTGCAGGTCAGTTAAGATAAGTTCCATCGTGTCCCATTCAAACTTTCCTTTTGGCTAAGGGCAGCTCTCAAAAAACTGGAACGCGAAATGTATATGTGACTGCAAATGTGACTATGACTCTGACTCTGACTGCAACTGGGTGCGGCATAAATTCTCATAAATCTATGGCCCAAAAATCAGCAGTGTACATATGTAGATAGGTATATACACATGCTGGCTGGAGTAATTAAAGCAGTTTAACATGTCTGTGAGCCTGGCCAGTTTTTGGAGCTGTCACAACATCAACAAGCCTTCATTCATGCTCTGCGACAGCCACAAGCCAGCCAGTTAGCAGAGGTCCGTCATTCAGTCATTCCGTCAGTATGGCAGTCTGTCAGTCAGTCAGTCAGTCAGGCGACCAGTCATTCAGTCAGCCAAAAACTTGCCATAAATCAACTCATTTGAAATGCATCAAAGGCAGCAATCAGAAACCGAAACAGTAACAGTTACAGACACAGAAACTGCCCAAAAGAAAAACGCAGTCAGTTGCACAAATATTTTTACACGTACCAGCGATTTCCAATTGAAATCGAACACATTCAGCGGAAAGTGACAATGCGCGGGCGGGGCAACAACTATGGTTGGCAAAAAAAAAAAAACCAGCCTAAAAATAAATCAAACTAAAAGCTTAAGAAACCAAGAAAAAACACCGCTCAACTGTCGTGGGCCATTCGTGTTGCACAATGTGTGAAAACAGGATCAAAGTCCTGCCTAAACATTTGTCAACCCAGCGGCGCTTATATAATCAACAATGCAGATTCGGTCTTTATTTTTTCTACCAATTAAACAGTTTGTCTGCTGGCTGGCAACAAGCATCAATCAAATGGCCAGGAGGACAAGCTTTGGTTTTAAGTTTTGGTCAGACTACTGTTGGAATCGCCCTCGGAATGCAGATTGTTCGTTTGGCTTATGACAGGCTTCTGGTTTTGGGGCGTGGCCATTATTAGCATCGCCGGCCAGTGCTTAATTGATTCGGTTGTTGGCCATGTTAATTGACAGCACGCACGGATGTAACATTGCGATAGAAGCCGGCTGACACGGGCCCAGTTAGTTGGCCAGTCAGTCGTCAGTTGTCAGTCAGTCAGCTGGTCGGGCAGTCAGTCCACGACGAGTGGTCCAAACAAAGTATATGCCAACTTATGCGATGGCCTATACACACAATAGCTGGCGGGAGTCGGTAAATTTCACTTATCAAGAGCGAAACAATTAACGGCTGCTGCTGCACGAGTTATAAATATAAATGTCAGGATGTCTGGAGCCCTGGGATTCGTGAGTGGCCTGACCCACATGCAATTGGCAACTGCCAGCAATTTGCCACCTAAGCGAGAATTATGATCGCCAGCATTTTCCGGGCCAGATAAGGCGGCACACAACTTATGCGCAAATGCGGCTGTCACAGGCTCAAATCCGAATCTGTATTCGAATCCAAATCCAAATCCGAAGCCAACTTCCCACCAGCTCCATAGAAAAGTCAACAGCCAGCAGAGCGGTTTCGTTATAATTTCTATTATTTTCCCTTTTGGCATAATTGCAGACAATTTACTTAACGATCAATAGCGTCAAACGGCAGGCAGGCTGGCAAGCTGGCAGGCAGCGAGCCGACAACAGACGTCGGGAAATTTATTAGCTCCCGCAGCTTCAGCCTTAGCTTCGGATCTTGGCCATGTGTTGGCCTTTTGGCAACACACACAAACTATATCCGCGTGAGAGCCGCTCTTCGTGCCCGGTTTTCTATCCTTGAGCCTCGGCTAATGCGACTGGCATTTTTCTTGGCTGTGTGGCTCTGTGGCTCTGTGCGCCTTCTGTTACCATAAAACATTTATTTAAAATGGAGCA